TTTTACTCATCAACAGTCTTATTTTTTGTGTCTTCCCCTAGAATATAAGCTCCATAAAAGCAGAGACCTAGTTCGTTTACTTATTTTCTAGCCCTAGTGCCTAGAACATTAGATGCTCATTATCAATGCCAAATAATTGTTGAATTTAGCCAGGAGTGGTGGCATGTGCCTGTAGTTCCAGCTAGTCAGGAGGCTGAGGTGAGAGAATCACTTGGGCCCAAGAGGTTGAGGCTGCAATGAGCCATGATGGTGTCACTGCACTCCAGCCTACATGGCAGAGTGAAATCCTGTCTCAAAAAAAAAAAAATTGTTAGATGAATAAGTAAATGAATGAATGAGTTCATTTACTTGGGCAGGGCTCGGTGGGTAGGTCCTACAGGGAGTGACTGGCAAGGACCAGTTTATTTTGATGGAGAAACCCCCAAATGTCAATAGCTATAAGCCCTTTTACTTGTATGTGAGTTCCCACCACTCATCCCATGAATCCTATAATCTCCTGCCTAGGGAATATGATTCTGCCTAGCAGCATTTTGGAAGCTCAGCCTACAAAGGCAGCTGGAAGTTTTCATTGTTCAGTATGCAAACTTTTAATCAATTTCCCTATGTTTAATAAGATTCATTCATTCATGCATGCCTTTGACAAATAGTTACCAGGTGGCCATTGCCAGGCATCTCTATATACTTGAGATACAACAGTAACCAAAAATGAGCTAAACTCTTTAGTTTTTGGAGCCGTTACTCAGCTATGATAGGTGTTCTTGAATCCAGAGTACCCCCATCCAGAAAATGAACCTCCCATTTTCCGCTAGGTATGGGGAGGGGCAGTTTCTTGATTGAGCTGGTGAGAGAGAGATTCTGGGGTGATAACTGCTTTCTTACATGCACTTTCAACAGCATTGCTAAATCTGGTAATGTTAACTTTCAACCAGTCCGTATCTCTCAGTCCTCCTCCTCCAACCCCACTCCACTCTCTTCACCTTGTCCTCCAGAGGGACCAGGTGCTGGCACCTTTCATTTTAAAGCTTTCTTGGGTACAGTAACATGAAAGAGCTTTCTTCTTTTTCACTCAGTTCTGGTTAAGTCAGTTAAGACATCCTCATTCAGCTTTCTAAATGTGATTTTTCTCCCTCTTTCACTTTGTCCTGGCAAGTTTATGTGTTTTTTTATTTTAATTTTAGAAAGCAGATAGAAATGACTCTATTTAATGGGCCATGTTTAACAAGACAACCTGAGTGCCATCACCAGCATAATCTCCTTAAACCCCACATCAGATTTTGAATATCATATTGGTTGAGCACCCAGTCTGTGCAAGGCATGTACTGTGTGGCTGGATAATGTTTGTTGTGTCTATACCTGGGATTCCTGGGAAAAAATCAGCCCCTTGCAAACCAACACCCACTCAACACAAACACACCCAGTAAGCGCTGGGTTCAACTTTCCCATCTTGCCTATCTATGTAGCTAGGGAAATAGGGGAAATACAGAGGCCCCTGGTTCTGGAGTCCTACTGCCATCCAGCAGTTGATGAGAAGAGAGATCTCACACATTCATCTGGTTTTTCACCTGTCCCTATCTCCTTGGGTCTAGAGTAAACTGTCAGGGCTCATTCCAACACTTTGATCATACTTCACTGAAATAACCGGGACACTTTGACTTTGAGAACACCACTGTCTGGAATTACTGCTAGCAAGGAGAAGCCATGGAGAACAGATTAAAGATTAAGAATTAAGATTACGATTTAATTAAGATTCGATTAAAGTATGAGTTTGATCTTAATTAGACTTATGGTTAAATAATTTAAAAATTAAGAATAGATTATTAGTCTTAATTAAGAATTAAGATTAAAACATGGCCTTTAGGGACCTTACTTTAAATTTTGCTCTAAAATACCATTTACTTATTAATAAATGATTGGGAAGAAGAAATCATTAACCCTTTCTCATTGGGTTGCCTTGATAACTAAATGAGATTATGTATGGAAAGGACTTAGTATAAGGCCTGGGATATGGTACTACATGTAACCTAAAGGAAAAGTCAAGCTCCCTGTCTCTTCAGTTTGGCCCATGTGGTTATTAATTCAATTTAGAATCAGGCAATAATCTATTTTATTCCAGGAAATTGATATCTTTGAGGCCCCTCATATTCTCTGGAGGAAGCTCATGGCCCCTTTCCCTACAAAGCTCTGCTCCTTACAACCTAGTTCAGATCTCTCAGAATGACACATAGCAGGTTTAAGTCATTTATGTCAGTTGGGATTAGAAAACTATTTCAACATGCTAAGTAAGAGCTCATAAGACCCTGAACCAAAGCTAGAGCTGAAGGGAAGGTATAATTCATACTTGCTCAGCAATCTACATGTTTCCCTTTGTTTCCTAGCCACCCTCGAAGTTAGGTTGGGGCTATGTGGCTAGTGTAGGTCAATGGACTGGGACCAAAAGTGATTGTTTCCAAGTGAATCAGTAAAACCCAGTGTGCCTCCTTCTCCCTTCCCTTTCATGGTGATATCAGAATTTATGTGTTCCCAATAATTGACTACAAGATAGTGAATAGAGAAAATACATCCTGGATACCTGAGTGACTGTCTGGAACAAGTCACCACTCTACCCGACCCCAACCAACCCACATTCAACTTGTAACATATGAGAGAACTAAACATTTGCTATATTAAACCACTGAGGTCTAGGTATAATTTATTACTACCTCCTCCCTAAGGAGGTAGCTTAATTTGAGATACCTTGTGACATTAAAATTAAAAGATATTTCAGTGTTTGTTAATGACAGACTAGGTAATTCAGACCAACCTTCCTAGGAAGATTGAACCAAAAAAATCTAAACTACGAAAGCTGAACCAAAAAAAAAATTATTTTTTAAAATTCTGCTCAAAAGCATTGGAAAGCCAACATGGTAGAGAAAAATTTCCAGGCTACCATCTGACATCTGAGAGAAGATGAAAATTCAGAGAAGTGAGTCTGAGATTTGAGGCCACTTTTCTGCTGGGAGCATTTGTTAATTCTGACAAAGCCAGTGTTTGGTGGCTGAGCAGTGTTTTCGATGGCCTGCTATGGTGATGAAAGTTGGACGCCGGTAAAAACATTGTAGTGTGGGTTGGGACCTTGAAGTATGCTCTAGCAGTAAGGGTGAACAGGAAGTAAAAGAGCCTTCACACATTCTGTTGTCCAGCTTCAAATCATCTGGGTGGCACAGAATACCTCAGGCCCTGCAACTGGAATAAGGTGATCCCAGACTGTTAATACCCTTAGGCTCATGAAAGAAGCAAACAAAAA